GAGAGAGAGAGAGAGAGAGAGAGAGAGAGAGAGAGAGAGAGAGAGAGAGAAACGGTAATTAATAATGTTATTTATTATTTATTCATTAAATATAACGATTGAATAATAATATATTTATGATAGTGATGTATTGTCTCAAATGTTACGTTTATTAAATATTCGTTATTTAGTTTACTGACGTCAAATAATGTCAAATAGCCTTGAATTGTTGTAATGATGATATCTTGTTACTTAGAGTGTACCTACTATCTGTCGTTAACGCATCAATAACCTATTGTGACTCAACATATCGTTAATTGAATATCATTGTTGCTAATGCAGCGTGTGCAGCGGTGAAGCGTAATCCAAGATAACAAGGGGAAAGTCTGAACAATAACCGCTGTCGCGAAGTAGAAAATACCGGTCAGTGTCAGACGTAGTGCGAAGACTGTTCATTGCCGGATAGTCGCCTGAATGGGAAGTCAAGGGAAATGAACGAAGAGGGAAAAGGAAAAGTTTAAAGTAGAAAGAAGGCGAATGGTGGAATGGGATGTGGATGCGCAGGAGGGTCCGCGATTTCCTTCCGAACGACTACCTTTCGATTCAATCGAAGTTACACGAGCCGCTGGATTCCGATCCGAGCCGGTCTCTATCTCGTTCTGTCTCCTTTTCAGTGGCGCTTCGCTGGCCGGGTTCTCTTGATTGCCGCAACAAAATCAATGCTCGAGAGAGAACGACGACGGGAATTGTGATGAACGGATGTGTGCACGCTTCGTTGCTTCGTGTAAATCGTTCACGCGAGAGAGCCAGGCGAAATTTGAAGCTCGCTGGTTAGGAATTGCGGGTTAGAACAGCTAACCATTTCCCACATGATTTCCTACTCGACAAACGCGTTTGCTTCTCAGAAGAGAACGTATCTACAGAGTACAGTTTTTATTTAATTTGAAATTCTTTAGTAGTACATCGAAATATTTCTTCCTTTATAAAACGCGGGCGAGGAATATTGCAGTATTAATAGAAATAAATAACATACAGATAAATGTTATTATTGATAAGATTTTATAACATTAATAGAATTATAGTATATGTGTTAGAATTTTCTTTTACTATTCCTAAAGAACAGAAAAGTTTTATTTTATTATATACAGCACTTGCATGGTGCTAACCTCTTATTGTGCGATTTAGATTAAAAAAGTTAAAATTGTTGCTTACGAAAGTTATATTCTTTGGGAGACATAATATGTTGCCTTCTCGAGATAATGGTGATATAGGAAATAATATGGGTAGGTTTTATCATTGAAGAATATAGGACGAAGGGAGGGTTTGTTACGAATGGCGCTACTGATAACGCCCGTACGGTACGGCGCGTTTCGAACTTTAATCGTAGTTTATAGCCAACTCGCTTGTGCTCTAGTTTCACTTAGTTTCGTGTAATGCGCAAAATTGCAACTTCATCGCGTGGGACGTCCTCGCGAAAAGAATCTGTTTCCTCGAAAAACGGCCTAGTAGTTTAACGGAAGTCCTTTTTTTTTTTTTGTTTACCGATTACTTTTATACGGCGAGCTTCATCATTTAATTTATAATAAGAGCAGTGAAACAATGAATTATG